TCAGCGAAAAAACTTAATTATTTAATTTAATTGTTAACCAGCCTGCTTATTAACCTTTCTGAATGGTTCAACATCTGTCGGTCTACAGGCCTGAAATGGTTAAAATACTTGCCTCTGTCAGTCACAAATTTTAAAATAGGGCAAGGGAAAGTCTGTCGTATTTGGTATGTTGGTTTCTAACATTTCCCCAGTGGGCATTATTTGTGCCACTCTACTTATATGCAGCGAAAGAATAACATGTAGTTGCCTGTTTCCTATGCCACTAACTGTTATTCGTCTACTTACCACAGAAGAACAGAAAGCACACATCTTGTTCGAGGTTTGAACTGATGATATTTCTCCGACTTACCGACTAAGCAACCCGTCTTAAAGATCAATCTTGTTCGAACATGTAAGGGAATATCTGTCAGAAGAAGAAGCTGCATATAGTGCTAAAGCATTATCGAAAACGTTTCACAGATGCGATCCCGCATTAGTCTTCAATCAAATATCCGGTTATATCAACAGTCAGTGCAGTCACCAAAACTTCCTCAAACAATATGACTCCGCTTCCTGAGTGCCAATACAGACCTTATGTCTACGTGTACTAAAATTTAAGTACCATGCATTTTGATTCCAATCGATAGACGAATATATAATGTTCAAGTTCAAGTCATGTTCAAGCATCAGGCGATCAGAATCCTAACGTTTGTAATAGAAGCATGCGGACACGGCATAATGACATATTGAATCTGAGGCAGTCGATTTAATGTCGGTCATACGACGAACCCACATCAGTGAAGCATCGTGTAATTTATTGCTTTTTTGGACAGCATAATAAATCCCCTCCCCTCGTTAGTTATTCAAGTTACATAAAAGAAGTGTAGCATAAATATCCCTTATATGAACAGCTATGGTGTTCAAACTCCGTTGAACGGAATATGGCGACAAAAACAACAGCTACCGTAACGTCATAACAAACCTTCATTTTATGATACTTGGCGAAATACTCGCCCTCTTCGTACAGCACCTGCCGCTGCGACTCCAGATCGCTCTTGTGACCGATCAGCTGACAGACGCAAACATTTTGGTCGGTGTTGCGGCGAGCTTCATGTAGCCATGCGGCTACGTGTTCAAATGTTTCCCTCCGCGTTATGTCATACACGATCATCACGCCGACAGAGTTGCGGTAATAAGAATAGGTGATCGACCTGAAAGTAAAAGCCTAAAATACGATCTAGCCATCAGGCAAAAAACACTAGGCGTCACACTTATTAGAAACGTGCTGTTTTAATGATTTCTCTCATCAGTGCAAATTAGTCAACAACCAATAAACAAACTTGGCAGAAACTTCACCCAGATTTCTTCTTTGACAGACAACAGTTGATATGTAATAGTGGCTATCCACTGCATGCAAAATTCATGAATCGGTCATCCTTGCATTGCAGAACTAAGGGTAATTTCGACACGACTACGGCCCAAAAGGTGGACTTCATCACCGGTAAATATTGCAGTTACGCTTTACGATTCGTATAAAACTGGAACGAGAGAAACAGTTTATTTTCAATATTTAAAACAATAAACCTTAAGCATTTTCATTTTTGATATCATATTTACTGTAGGAAGATGGTCTTTCTAGCTGACAACAACTATGTTACAAAAGAGAATAAACAGTTTGTT